AAGAGTAAAAGGAAAGATAAAAGAAATGTACATCCAATTAACTGACAAAAACTCACAAGGCAACAAATACAGGTATCCCCTTTTGAAATCATCAATATAATTCATTGATCCTAGTGCCAAAAAGTTTAGAGCCTGGATTGGTAGTTAGCACCATATGTTTCTAACAAGCACACTTAGGACCAATTTCCAAGTTTTGGCATGACATAGAGACCTTCTTAAGACTATCCTGAAGACAGCATCTGAAACTTAAGACGTAAACTAGTTGATAATTAATAACCGCAAAAGAAAAAAAAAAGAATTAGACTAAGGTGGTCATACAGGCTACTAGACGTGACAACGAGGTATATGAATAGATAGGGCTAATTCTTGTTGACTATGATATGCAATAATTTGCTTGAATACATCAACAGTTTCCAATTGTAATGCACAATACAAATATTATTCCTTAAATGACCTTAACAATTTGATAAGGAACAATATTTCATTTTCAAAGATATCTAGTTGGAGTGGCACTACCTTGAGGTTATGGTCAAAATTTTCAATGAAATATAAAGCAAGATTCACATTTAGGCTTAGTCTCAAAACAATAAAGTTTTCAAGTAAAATGAACAGAGATTTCAAACAAGCATCTGTTAATTAATACTTTATTTCAACTTATATCAGTACTTAACAAAAAACTAATACAAACATTAAGTGTTATTCTAAATCTTCATCAATTAATGTAGAGAAATATTTAAATATGCAGTCTTAATGATATTTTATATCAATAACATATATGTATGAGAACTACAACAATACCTATATAGTTGGCAAGAATTTACTACAATTTGTTTTTTATAATCTTTATTTGTAATATAAATGCTACTTTTTTTTCACAAATCTTAGCCCTTATATTGTAAAATTCTGAAAAATACATATAAAATGCTAAAGGTACTATGCGATCTTGGACTTCTTTGTAACAGTAATACTGAGTCACTTCAATGACCCTGTAGATATTGCACATTTGTACAATACAAAAATCAAGATTAGAGTCAATTGATTCAGCTATACTGCAAAAATGCCATACATTTGTTTACCAACTGCTGTGTGTATGTTTGATTTAACATATATTAATGGTACCGTTTATTTTATTTCATGGTACCATTCACTACAGTTTTATCTATATTATTTGAATAATCACTTTGGGTGCAAAACTTTGAAGTTATGATCATTAGCATTCTCTTGACCTTTTTGATATGTTATTGACCAATTGGAGATTTATTGGGATGTATGAATATTGAAACATCACTCTTCTTCAGAAAATTAATGAAAGAGTAAGGTAACAATATTGAGTAACTCTGTTGTCTTCACATCCCTGAGCTACATGGTTGTCTTATTCTATACTTTTAACACTGATTACAGTATGAATTGTGAGTAAGAAAATATCGGAACAAATTGATAATGCACAAATTATATATATGATAAAAATATAGCATCATTATTTTGTAAAATATATTTTCAACTATTACAGATTTCATTTTTAGTTTGAGAGAATAAAACCACCAAATGATTTATGCTTAACAAATCAGTATCATTTAAAAATAAAGAGTCAGAATAAATATAATCATTATAGACATAATACCTTTTAAGTCTATTAAATCCATGATTGATATGAATCTTCCTTAAGTGTCTTTAGCACAATCAATTATCATTAAAAGTTTGATAAAACTACTGTTAAAGTTCAATTCATTATGGTCTAAGCTCGTAAACTTACTTAAAATCAATATTTCATGTGCAAAATTTGAATTAATGTTTTTAGTGTATTTCTGTCATGTGATATTGAATCTTAAAATTTATTATTTTTCTGTTTGTTTGTTTTTTAAGTTAAGCACAAAGCTACACAATGGGCTATCTGTGCTCTGCCCACCACGGGTATCGAAACCCGGATTCCAGCGCTGTAAGTCCGCAGACATACCGCTGTGCTACTGGGGGGCATTATTTTTCTGTCACTAAATGTTATAAAAATCTAATCTTTTTTAAATATACTAATGCTTAAAATATGATTAAGGCAGGAAGATAAACTAGAAAACCTGATTCATATTAATTGTATGTCTTCCTACAAGTATCATGGTTTAATGTAAACACAAACGTGATGTCCACATAAATCTCACAGGTAGATGACTACATAAATAAAATATTTAAAATCAGTATTAAAGAAAAACATAGTTAAATTAACAACTTAAAATAGGAATTGTAAAACAACTGTATATATATAGTTTAATCTAAATAAAAATTAACACACATAAATAATATAATGTAGTTTACAGACATTTATTCTCATGTACTCTGAGTCCACCAAAAATAACTTAAACAAAAACAGCAAAGTGAGACTGGATATTTAAAACCAATTCATTTTTAAAAGCATCCTTGATTACTTTAAATTAAGCATTTAAGAATAAACTTGTATATGCTTGCAAACAAATATAACTTAAAAACAAGTCAGTTGAGTGTAACTAACTTATATTGTACTTAAACAAACCATACAAACACTATATAAAATATATATATATATAGGCATCTATTGTATCACATTACATTTTGATATCCCATGTAAAAAGGACTGTTCTTTTTACTTGAAAGATTTCACCATCCTAGTTTTATCAAAGTTGATCAAAAACCAGATTAAACATCTGGTTAATATCATATTGATTCAACAGAAATAGTATACATAACTGACATGTTATTAAGTACATGCACTTTCAATAATATGATTTTTTTGTTTAACATACTTAAATTATACTGTTTTAATTCTAACCATAAAACCTCTGTTTAAAAGACCTTCTCAGAATGAGCATATGCACCTACATTTGAAAATTATGCACACTTTTTAAGGCATTTTAATTTAAAATTTTGCTAATAAACTACTAAATTTAATAACTCTTTTATACTGTTATGGGTCAGACAACTAAAAGTTAATATTTCATGGCTATTTGTGAAGTAGCATAATTATATTTTGCAACAGATGGGGTTTTAGTTCTAATAATGAATTTTACACTTTATGATTGAGTAAAATAATTTGTTCAGATGAAAGGCTAAATTTTTTGGATTAGAAACCTTTTATAATAAGACTTGAAATCTTGAAAATGAAGATAAAGAAAAACCATCAGGAAAGTATGTATATATTAAGTTCAGTGGCTATTTCAACCTTATATGACTTACTGGTTTAAGATTTTTAGGCCTCTGTTGCATTAAAAAAGGCTTTTTTTACTCAGTATAAATTTTACTTTCTTTCTTCATTCTCTTACATACGTTTCTTAAGGCATCAATAAATTCATTCTCCATCTTAGAGGTTAAAACCAAAAATTTTATGTGACGATATTTTTCTGGAATAGCATAGATAGCATCAGTTTTCATCTTTGAAAGTGGCACTGCCTGATTAGGATGATGTTTTTCGAAGATAAAAATATAATCCAAAGGATTCAACTCTTTTTTACCCCAATGAATATCCATTGTCTACAAAAAGAAGCATGAAAAGATATGTAAAATTCTTATGAATGATACATTTAAACACGTTATAAAAAACTCCACTCACAGAAATAAAAATTAGGTAATAAATAAAACTGTATGCTATAAACATATTACAAATCATGCAAATGATTACTTATGCAGTAATTACATAGTCTTTCTTTGTACTAAAGAAGTAAATAATAATCCTTTAGTGATCTGCTGTATCAATTCAACAGTTATTCTTAAATTAGTTATAAAATTAATATAATTATTTTTCAGAAAATTTATTTTATATAATAATTAACAATTCTTAAATAATTATAACACTAAATTATCATTCTTTAGTGTTTTCATTTTGTCAATTAACAATTCTTGTATCAGCATTATAACAATAAAATAATTATTTTTCAGTCTTTTTCACTTTATGAATTACCCAATTCTTGTTAATATCTTCTTTGTATCAATTAATAAAAACACATTACAAAATTAGAAAATAATATATTTAGTGTTTTTCATCATATAAGCTTTACATAATAATAACTTAGTCCTTACACCCTTCTACAATCAAAAATATAAATAAGAATTCATCATCTGTATAGTTCCCTAACCTAAGAGTTATTAATGCTGGTTACCTTCAAATAACCTTTCTTTTAGTGTAAATGACATAAGATCTAGTTTTTCTTTTTTAACTATGCACTCTTGGTTTGCAGTATTCCTAATATCAAGAGCTGTTAAGCAGTAGAAAAATTGACTATCTAAAAAATAAATAAAATGTTATAGGTGTGCTTTTTAAGTATATTTCAACTGCCACTGCATTTTAATAACAGCTTAGTATATTCACTGAATATTCTATTCAAGAATCCCTTATGAAACACATATTTCATTGTTTGAGTGAAAGTTAATACTTTCTCACACTGAAAATATATGTCTGATAGATACTTACCTCTGCTCATATAATAGCTTCTCTTGTTCATTGCTGCCTTCTATATGCATAAATTATTATTTTTTTGCTCACCACTAGCTAGCTTTGAAACTCTCACCTACACCACATTCAACATGGTTCTACTGTGTCTTTGCATGCAGATAAGTATATGGCAACCCTCCACCAACAGGATCGTGACACATGCTCCTGACATAAGTTACTATCTCTCTATATTATTCAGCCTAACCTTCACTTTGAGATTAGAGAGAAAAGAAGCTCTGGAAGTGGGGAGGAAGAGTGGGAAGTGTGAGATGAGGTAAGTATCTATTGGAAATATATTTTCAATGTAGGAAAATATTAACTTCTGATAGAATATCTTACCTCTTCTCACATAATAGTTAGAATCTCACATTAAAAAGGTGGAGGGATCAGTGCAAAAGTTACCTAGATGAACACCCTTCAGAAAGCATTCAAAGAATGTCCTAGGGGTGTGACCTCTGTTGAGAGAGGAACACACCCGTGGGAGACTGCACCACATCTGTACCAGGTATACTCATCACCCAATGAGGTAATAATGTTGCCTAAATGAGAGGAAATTTTTTGAAGCACATCTGTTAATGTATACATGTTGAATGGTCCAGCTCAACACAAACATCTGGGAATTGAAATCCAGGAGAGGGCAGGATGGAGGGTGGTGGAGAAAACTAAATGGATGTGCCCCATGGTGTAGAATGGCTAGGGCACATCAGACCATACTTGGTGGATCAACTCCAGTCCATCGGGTATTTATCTTCTGGTCCATGGTAGGAGGAGGGTCCCTACCATATTCACCTCAAGCCTACGAGATGGAAGTGAGAATGTTCCGTCCCACCTGTCTAGACAGGGCACATATGCTTGAATTCTTAATCAACACTAGCCAATTGGGAACCAGGCATCTGAATGATAATTGGCATGGAAGTGCCTTGGTCCACTCAAATCCAAAACCAAACAGACTTTTGGTTCCTGTTCCAGCTCCATGTTGTATCAGAACTTACGAATCATTTACCTGCAGGTGGTATGTTGGGGGTACCCCAGTCAACCAGAGTACCTGTCAGCCAGTCCAGCTCCTTGCAATACCAAACTCCAAAGCTTCAGCTTGATGGAAGAGGTATGCCAGGGTACATTGACCAACACATGCATGAGGACTTATGTTGGTTGGTACAAATCTAATCCAAACCCTAATGTTTGGGAAGTGACACTCGGGCAATGGTAGGATGAGGGGTCCCAACCAGAGGGGTGAACTGCATTTTAATGGATCTACTTCATTTGGAAGATCTACATCAACAGAACACCACTGCCCTACTCTTTACTGAATTGGATTGAGCATTCAGGAGAAGCCTCCATGGTCCACCACCCCAGCAGTTTGGAACTGATAAGTGGTAAGGAGAGAGGAAAATTTGTAGTGGGGAGTCTGAGAAATGCTACACTGGAGACTGTGCAATGGGTGATCACGGTAACCGTATTTTGAAAAGCAGATCGTTCCTGATTTATTCAATTACAGGAATGGCAGGGATGGGCAGCAATTCCTTTCTGCTTTACTCTTGATAATTCATGAGTTAGTATGGTCTGGGATGGGCATAATTGTGATGCAATATACCATGAGGTGAACCTACCAGCAGTATTCTGGAACACCCCATCTCAACAGTGAGTGTTATAGGCCTGGAGATATCTATGTATATTGGTTTTAAGTAGTATATATACTAAGTAAGTTAAATATATGGGTGTGTTGGGCTAAGGATTCCTCTGCAGTTGGTGTCTGTGACTTGTTGTAAATAAATTCAAAAAATAAACGAACAGCATGCACTCCACTTGTTTTCAAAATAATATATATATTTGTAACAAGTTAAACATATGTACAAAAATTCCTTACACTATGGAGGTCATAGTTATATCTTAGATACTATACAGTTCTCTTCTTCTTGTCAAAGTCCACTTTGGCCTATTAAATTGCTTTAGAATTTAGTTGACAAGCCGAACTATTTTTCTCTATTTCTATTGCCAGACTATCTGTGTATAGTTCACTTATGTTGTCGTTGAGTTACCGCAATTGTATCCTGTACTTCAAAAATCATCTGCTCCTTTTTTGTATATCCAAGAATCATCTGCCTTTTGTCAAAGTCCATTCAAGCTGGTTTAATTACTTTAGAACACCCTTTGATGAGACAAATTATTTTCCTTATCTCTTACAAAATTGTTAATCTCACTCTTAACATGTCAACTGTTAAGCCTTTCACTCCTATGACGATTAACTTCATGTTTAATTGAACTTCTCCTTCCTGTGACTTTACTTTACTCTCTTCTACTGCTTTTTTCGTCTGCTTGTCACTATTTAAACTTCTATCACTTAGGCCTTCTAGAAACCTCTATATCTTTGACATCAATTGATTGCACATGACGTTCAATAGCTTCGACATCAATGACTTGCAAATGCATCTTCCAATAATTGTCTGTTTTTTTTATATATATATAGGCCTACTTCCAATATTCGTCTGCTTTTAATTCTCTCATTGTGAAAAAACTAAACAATCATGAAATATTCACTCACAAAATAACTAAATTAATAATACCTACACTAAACAGTATTTTATATCGGACACCCTGGTTTCCTCTGGTGGAGTGTCCCATCTTACCACTTGCTTGGTCCAGCTGCTTTCTCTAGGTCCAGCCTCCAGGACTCGATCTATCGGAGGTAGTGTACCAGGGGTGCCCCAGATGGTATATATATGTGTGATAGATTGTACAATGCAGATTTTGAGGCTGATAGCCAATAAGCATATCTGGATAGGCACCACTCACCAATGAGCAGGATCCACTGCCTATAAGGGACACGACCATGTAGCAGAAGGAGAAAAGTGTTCAAACTCCCGTCAAATTAAGTTCGTGACCCCCTCAGCTAAAAATTTAGAACCTGAAGCCTGAGAAACAACAGACAAAGTAGTAGTAGTAGTAGTAGTAGTAGTCACGACAGTGGTATATGTGACATGAAAGTCATAATTCATGGTTCAACAGAGGTAATTCCATGAAAAGTTAAATTTACTTTCACTCAAAACCGTAATCTTACACATATAACTCATGGGCTATATGTTAAATTAGTTTTCAAAAATGCTAACTGAGGTATACTTTTGTGTGGGTAATACAGTATTTTTGTTGTTGTTGTTCTTAAGACTGAAATCACTAATTTTCTATTCCAAATATTCGTTTATATTGTTCTTGTTCAACATGTGGAGCAATTCATCAATCAGCTGATAAGTACGTTTGTTAACAATTCCAGTTACCTGTATTCTCTGCTCAAAGGACAAAGCATAAATAAGAATACTTTTGACTGTATTTATCAGTATTTAAACAGATTACAACTGTGACTTAATTTATTGCTCACGTCCTCCAAGATGAGTAGGTTTCACTTTTAGCATGCCCCATAGTGTCACCATAACCTTTAACCTGTGATTGGCTTCATCACATGACATAACCACAGGGGATTGAGTTAAATTATCAATGAGATACAAGGTTTTCTGTAAGTTTAATCATAATATTTTTAATAATAGTTCTTTTACACATGTTACATGCATATATCTAATATGTATCTAATCCAGAATCTCTATTGACTGAATGTTTTATTGTGTTACCATAATTTAAAAGGATTATTCAATTTTTCTTGTCTTCAAAAATTTGTTGGCGTTGCTGGCTTGTGGGGTATATATGAGTGCAGGTAATATGTGCCTAAAAGTTTCTTAGACCACTTTTTTTCCTCAGGTGTGGGTTATTTACATGAAAATATGGTACTACTTTGAGAAAAAAAGCAAAAACAAAATGCAAAATATTGTAATATCTGATTAACCACATACGACTGTGCCTAAATGAAAAGTGAAAATGAGGCTCAATTGTACAGAGGGAGTAACTAGCATCAGGAGTGTATGTCATGCTCCTGTTGGTGGAGGGATGCCACATGCTTATTTTCATGTGAAGATGCAGTTAAGCCACGTTGGACAGTTGAATGTGGGGTAGGTGGGATTTTCAAGGCTAGTGGTGAGCGAAAAAAAGAATTTTTGCATATAGAGGGCAACACTTAATGAGAAAAGCTATGTAAGATGAGGTAAGATATTGTATTGGAAAAAATTTTTTATCTAGAAGTTAATTACACAATAATCTTTTATATACGAGTTAATTAAAGTATAATCTTTTAATATTTTCTTTGAATCAAGTTAAAAATATTTTCAATAATAATCTTTTAAAAAATAATCCTTGAGTACACCATATCAAATAAATAATAATTTTACAACATTATCAGATAATATCCTTAATCAATATTTGAAGAATGAACTATTTTAACTTACTTCTAATTTGACTAGTTGATGACACTCCTTATTAGGAATAAGACCATGAATCTTAGATAGTTGTTCACAAATATAATCCTTATAATTTTTTTTCTGTAAGAAATAAAGAATGTACATTCCCCACTTTAGTTAATAAGATTAAACAGAAACACACAGAATTTTTTTTCAAAGTTTAACAATACTTTTAATGCCTGCAAACATAATGGTGAATGTATACACTTTTAAACTTTTACATTTTTCTTCATCTAAAACTATAGTGCTAGAAATAAATGAAAAATGTGGTATTCAAGTACAGACGTTTGTCAGATAGTTATAAGTGGGTTTGGGAAATGATATGCAGAGAATAACTTCGAACATGAACAGCAAAAAATTAAAGAAAACATAAGTGAACAGATAAACAAAATCTTTAATCACATTCAGTATGTGTCTTGACTTAACTCATTAACTTTTGGATTGATAATGATAAACTGATTGTTTGAAGGAACTCACAAGTAAAATATGTGCATAACAAAATGACAGGTATAAGAAGGATGGTGATACTAACCTGTACAAATATCTATAGCACCTCTTGAAAGGAGTATAACCAAACTTCAGGAGGGTTAACACAAAAACTGGTCAAGTAAGTATAAGTCTTGCAGAATAACTGTTGTGGTATGTAATATTTGTTTGAGATATATGATTAGCACAAGTGTATGACTTTTCTACATCCACCTTACAAGGAATTCACTACTGAAGAACACATATGCATAAAAATTCTTCAACATTCTTCAATATACCTATACAGATATCTTTTTTTTACTAGTTGTGAAAAGGGTAACATAGCAGTTGTTTCAATTGTGACACACATAAAAGCAAAAAGAGTTACTTGCCAAATCATAAATACAATTGATGCTATTTTATAGGTGAAACCACTGGTGACAATTCAAACATTTTATCTTTTGATATATGTTTCATTTCTAATCTTTTGTCTTTTAGTTGCTTTGACCTTCCATTTTTTCTACCTACTCTTCGTAAGTTAAGTAACAGTTTACATACCTGATCAGTATTGTCTGCATCAAGAACATCAACAAGTTTATAAAAGTTATTAGTTGAACTCCTTTCTTCCACAGCTACAAGAAGTTTCTTTGATTCTAATAAATCTGGTCTTTTGCTGTTGCGAATCTCATAAAACAGTACTGAATCAATGAGTATAGCATATTTCTCTAATGCTTCATAACCACCATCTTTTACTGCAGCTTTTGTTATTTCCACCAAGTTCATTTTATCTCTATTAAGCAAACATAGTATAAATCATTATAAAATAGAACATATCCAATTAGTTTAAAAATTCAATACCAAACTTAAGAAACATCCTAAAAGTGAAAACTTTTATATAACACACTTCATCTTTTCTTTCTTAGATATTATAAGTTTTATCTTTATGTTGCTGTATCAAGTGTACACATCTGATCATTATTACAAACAAAAACATTTTATGACATAGTTAATTAAAAATCTACAAAACAGTTGCAAGAAAATTTTACCTTTTAGTTGGTTAAATGTATATCATTGTACATGGTCTGTATGTTCTTTATTATAAAAGTACTAGATGTTCAACATTTTAAATAAAAATGTCTTTAAAAAATTATTCTGATCACAAACATTATAATTATTGGATCACAAATAATATTAAAGCAGTCGTATAATGTAACATTACGTTCTAGAATACATGCAAGAACAAAAAAAATAAAAACATACCCATCAGGTCCAGATAGTTTATCAAAGGCCATTACTAAGGCATCAGTCATCCTATACAAAAAATATATGTAGATTACCTTATAAATAAATTGATTTTGCAAGGCTATTAATTTCATAAAAACAAAATAATGCAATATCCAAAATTTACAGCATAAATTAAAACTTGTGTAATAAGTGAATTGTACAACATATAAAATCAATGGGCTAACTGACTACATTGTGTCTGCCGCATTGATTGAGCAATTCCAAATTCTAGTTGAGTCACTGAGGGATAAAAAAACAGCATTAAACACAAAATATATTTAAAACACCAAGCATATGCACCAACTGTTTTATTCATAATATGAAAAATATCAAAATTTGAATTCTTTTAGTGAATACTGTCAGAAAAATCTGTTATTTTATGTTGCTAGTAGACATGTCACCATACTCTTCTATTTACAAGTAAAAATGAGCAAGGTTGTTCTGTTATTACACTTAACTGCACTTGTATTTACTTGTTGTTTGTTGCTTGTGTCAAGAACACGAGGCTCACCAATTGGCAGTTTGCCAAACTGTATCGATCAATGAATAAAATACTGAGAAATAGTATGTAAATGTATTTTGTGTTATTCAAAATTTCAAAAATTATTATAAGCAAGAAACTAATTCTTGTGTTTTCTTAAGAAGTAAAAAAATTACAAATTAGTAGGATTTAGAGGCAAAAATGTGATAAAAACTACAATACATTAATCATCATAATGTTCAAGGCCATTTCCAATTTTTGACAGTACATCATCATTTTCAAAACTTTTATTATTTTATTATTCCCTTCAATATGTCTCTAGGTCCTGTTTAAGTTCTAAACATTAAAGGTAACTTTACTTACATTCGTTCAACTATCAGTACCTTCTTGTGCTGATATACTGCAGTATGAAGGTCACTCCTTGTTTTAAACATATCACTAATGTTGTGAATAGCCTAGATAAGAAAAATAAGTTAGATGTATCTTCTTTACAATAAAAACAACAAAATGAAAATATTATCTTCCTCTCTAAAATTTCATAAATAGAAATAAAACTTAAAAGGGTATTGCTTTTAAAAAACAAAATAAAAGTTTGTATCACATGAAAGTTCTGCACAAGGACTCACTAAAACAACAAACATCAAAACATGAAAAAAACACAAAATTGTAAGGCAGCATCTCAAAACATTTACCCTAATGTCTCAACTTAGCAAAATTTTCCTCAGCTCTGCATCTGTTCCTTTTATGATACATAAACTTGGAGGACCACAACAGGGTGTATCCCATCAATGAACACAATATGATGATGTAGTCTTTCTGGCTTTTCTACTTGCATGTTTCCATAATTATAAAAATAACACCTGTCTTTATAGCTGTACAAGTAAATATTCACAGAAAACACTTACCTTGTCTCTGAAACAAATGTGCTGTTTACCATCTTCTGCTCTTATTACTCTTGCATTAAAAATGAGACGATTGTAATCAAAGTTACATTTCAAGCCCACATAGTGGCAATCTCTCATAAAGTAATCCCATTTATCAACATCTAATCCAGAGTCTTCATTATTAATGATCTGTAATGAAAAACACATAATCATAGAATTACTTTTATAAATCTGGCACTAAAAATCCATTCTGGTTCAATCAACACATCAGACTTTACCAACAGTAAAATGAAAACAAATCACGAGCCACATTATATGAAGATTATTTTCGATACTCATCAATTTACCAAGTTTTGTTTTATCTTTTACAAAGGCAACAAGTATTACGGAGGAAAGGTTATAAAGTGGTGGCTTCACTTTGTTTATTGTGAAGCTGAAAGTTATTTTGGGCCATATGTTCTGTGCTGACCATGATTTCATAAAGTACCACTAAGGACATTATCTTACTAATTTTATTTTATGTAATTAATTATTTTCACAAGTATGGTTATTAACTTGAGAATAAAAATAAATTTATGTTTAATATGTGATAACAACTAATTCAAGCTTTATTTAAATGAAATATTAATTAATATTAATTTAAAGCAATAGTAATGCCATTTTAACAGCTAAAATATTTACTTTGTATTAAATAAATATTTATATTGAAATATAAATCAAAAGTTAGTATTGTAAAAAAGACACACAGTTTAAAACCACAAAAAATAAAGTTCATTATTGTGATTAGAGATTCTGTAATATGGGGTTAAGAATGAACATTTACTTTTAGACTAATGATAATTCTTTTCTTTTGTGGGTGAATCTTGAATAAGAATAGTGAAATGTTTGCATTTTTAGGTAAATTTTGAATTATAATTACTTATAACTGAGTCTAGCATGAGACTTAGAAAGCACAGTTTAAGTTTAGGTATATTAAAAAGAATAATTTGGTCATTAATGAGAAAGCTGTTTTGATAATGTACCCAACCTAAGTTGACATGTACTGATTCTACATAAGCTATCTGAAGTGGGTTAGCTGATAACTTTTCATCATGAGTGTGAAATGTGTTCTAAGAAAGATTTACATTAGGTCTTATAAAAGACAACAAAAATAAAAACATCAATAGGCCTGGAATGAAAGAAACTGTAAATCAAATCATCATTAGACTATAAGAGTAATAAACTAAATTGATGAGACACAAACATTACAAAAATCTGCATATTTCCTGATATTTTCCAAGATACATCACATGGAAGGATAGTTCCACAAACCCTTAATTAAGAAACATTTTGAATAGGAACATGACACACAAGTTACAGAAAAGTGCCTCATACTTCATGAACAGAATATAGTCAGAAAAAACTCAGCACTAGCTAAAACCCTATTAATGTACAGTATAAAAACTATTTATTTTACTAAGCCAAGTTTGCTAGCCTTAATTTACCAAAAATTACCATTAGCCCAAGTTTGACTCAATGAAGAGAATTCTGAATATAGAACAAAATTTCACTTCACACGATTTTTAAACTTTGAATATTATAAGAATAAGTAGTGTTAAACCTTATAATTAAAGAAACTTATTTTGAACTGAGACTCGTTTACATGGGTAAAGAATTCTTATCCTTCTAATATGTACTTATATAGTTACATGTCAATTTGTTGGGTTTGGAGCAAAGCCGCATTGGGTTATCTGCTGTGTCAACCGTGGGGAATTGAACCTCAGATTTCAGCATTGTATAAGTGATGCAAGCCTAAAGTCCATAAAAAAAGAGCAGAAATGTATCCTATTTTATGGCCATTTTTATTCTCCTTACCACTGTCTCACTGTTTAAAATTTGTTTAAACTGATAAGGTTTTGTGTTCTGTTTTTCTAAACATGTGAATTCATGTAAGTTCCTCATAATAATGACCTATGTAATTCACTACTGACTGCACATTCTTGGTATTTTAAATATACTAGCTGAGGGTACCTATTAAGGAAGCAAAAACTGTATAAAGAACAATGTCAGATTATGGTCCCCTTCTTCCTTTTATTACTAAATCCTTAATGATTTCATTAGATGCTAAACACATACCCCACTTTGAGGAAGGTAATAATTGACTTATAATTGATTAAATACTTGTGTCTTTAAATTCAATGCCAAAAGTCTATAAAAAGTGAAAATTTGCCCTATTTCAAAGTGTTTTCTTCTTTCTTTTCTTGGACAAAATTCCTACACCAAATAGCATGTGTGTACACTGTTGCACAATTTCCAGTTACCATACAAAAAATTATGGCAATCTAGTCAACCATGTATGGGTGATGCAAGCCTTAACATATCATAAAAAAAAAGTGGAAATGTGCTCTATTTCATAGCCATTTTTATCCTGCTTCTTGGGTAAAAATCTTAAAAAAATAGCTCTTGTACAACATCAAACAGTTTGCAGTTACCATATAAAAAATTACAGTAACTGAACCAGCCACCACACATAATGAATCATCATTATAGTAAGATAGTATTTTTATTGGGTATGAGTGATTACTACAGTGGCTAATTGCTTGGTGTTTTTGAAATGGTTAATAAAGAATGCTTTAATAACTGTTCTTAAGAGTAATATTTTTTGTTGAAAATATAAATATAGTATATTACTTTATAAGTTCAATATTTATGTTTTAATGAGTTAACCCCAAAGTTATTTTTTTATTTTTATAATTAATTTGTAAAAGTTGTCAGAACAAAAAAACAACTAATTTCATCCTTCCATAATAAGGTAGAATGTATTTTTATATATGCTTATCCATATAAACTTTTCTAAATATTTGTGTAGGTATTCTGGCATGTAATTAGTGATGTCCTTGTGAGAAGAATGTAGAAAGTTTGTAAGCTTATGCTAAACTTGTAGCTTAGACAATGGTTACATATACTACAATAATAACTGTAATTGTAATTGCTTGCCCCCATTTCTGTATCATACCCAGCTTCCTGAAGGTGTTCAGAGAATTGTACAAGTCAACGAGTTAGGAAATACTTCACATGCAAATATATATACTGGGGATGATCAGTAACATATGTATGTATACTGTAAGCTTAGTTTATGGATACTGCACTAGGACTGTCTTATTTGAGAGTGTAATATCATTATAATTAAGGTTTTTGATTTTTGTCTTTGTTCCATGAAGACGTGTTTTCTCTAGCTACAGCTGCCAGGAAAGATATATATATAATAAAGTTAGCAGCTACTATGGATAAAGCTCCAATAACATTTTTCAGTATATGAATCAAAGACTTATTGATTGTGTTTGGTGTCCATGTCTATTTTATTCTCTGTTTAACATTTCCTGAATCTTCCTTTATAATGGATACTTATAATTTTTCTCTTGAAAATCAGTAAATATGCATCAGAAATGGTGTTAAGGATAAGCAAAACTGGCAGCTGCCTAGAATGCTAAATACTTGGGAGCTTCAGCATGTATTAAACAATGAGTAGGGTGCAAGTAAAATTTTTGCCAGCTCATAATTGTATGACTACCACAAAATATAAAATATGAGTATGATCATTAAATTAGAAATTGGATGGAATTTCCAGATACTGTTAATTAGTATCAAAATTACACACATTTATATTGTATGATCTTGATTCAACTTACCTATTAAGTTTTGATCAAAAACATTAGTTGTATATTCTGATTGACTTGAGTTATGCACTAAATAACCAAGTATGGCAAAACAAATGCTTTTCTAGATCACTCTTTTGGTTCATGGATTGTAAACAATCTCATTGAAAGACATGCTTTCTTGGTGTAGATTAACTGAGTCATTTTGTGACAAAAGCTAACTTTAAAGGAATAAAATTATCAATCTGTAAGGTTTTTTATTAAACAGAGATCTCCAATGGCTCAGTGGTAAGTCTGCTTGCTTACAGCACTAAAAATTTGTTTTTGATTTCCATGGTGAGCAGAACAAAGATAGCCCATTGTGTAGCTTTGTGCTTAACAACCAACTAAACAAAAATACTCTGTACTTCTGTATTTGAATTTTAAGGTCTTTTATTATACATTTGACCTTGAAAAAAGAACAATCTTTTGAAATTAGATGCAAATGTAGCATTTACAGTTGCACAAAGCATAACATAATTCAGTTTTTGTGATGCCTCCTTTAGTTGTTATGATTACACAACTTTCATTAGGGCTAAATTGATTGTTGATTTTAAAAATAAAGGTATCTGTTTTTTGTTTAAGATTTACTTCATAGTTTCAATGATGATAAACAGAATGCTTAAAAAGTATTCACAATACAAATAAAGGAATATGAAAATCCATTAGACAAAAAAACACAGTACAGACACAATAATTTTTTTAATATTCTTTCCCAAGTTCATTTTGGGGTGACTAGTTCTATACAACATATACAGACCTAAAACTAACACTAACTTGCTTACTTGTATGAACTTGTCAATAAATTAAAGGTACTAAATGAGCTTAAATTAAAAAACATTAACTTACTTGATAGAGGAAATGATGATCACTATCTTCCTATTTTAAGGTAAAAAAAAAAGAAAAAAAAAGATTAATATGTTTTTATATTCAAATAATACCAAGAGGCCATTGCACATATGTAGACAATCATATTGCAAATCCAAATTTATTCATCAGTTATACATTTCTTTTTGAAATGCTGTCGCTTAATTTGTAAGTGTAAACATGTTCATATCCCTTACTGGCCATTTAACAAACAAAGTGGTAAGTTATGTATCCCAGTACTTTAAAAATCATAATGTCCAAAGTGGATTGTGTTATTCACAAAATCTTTAGCTGCGATGAACTACGTAAATTTAAAGGGTAGCAAAAGTTAACATTTTCATAATCTGAAAATGTATTTCCAATAGATACTCACCTCCTCACATGCAATAGCTATATCCCTCCCACTTCTGCCTATGAGACTTGCATGCCACTATACTTGAGCTAACTCCCACCTAACATTCATGTGTTTAATGTGAACTGCACTGGTGTATGATGGTATCATGTGACAGTAGCCTTCCACCAACAGGAGGATGATACAGCCTTCATGCACTTGAAATAACTTCATTCTTAGATGAGGCAAGAAGAAAGTGCATCAAAAGTGGGGAGGTCAGGTGGGAAGAGGTAATTATCTATCACAAATATATTTTCAGATTACAAAAATGTTAACTTCCAAGATGATACTTCACTTCCACACAAAGAATAGCTAGAATCCTACACTGAATTTATAAAGGAACTGATGCAATATTTAAACCTAGATGAGTTCCCTTCAGAAAGCACCCAAAGGGAATGCCCATGGAGGGTGACAGCTGATGGCAGAGGCTCCATAGGGACACACTTGAGGGAGACCAGATCTCATCTCAACCAGGGTATACTTTTTGTTTGGAATGTAACGGGGGGGAAGCAAATGAGCCCCAAGTGTCACGAGGATGGGTGAGGTACGACAGCAGAAGTCATGAGACGCTGGGAGCATGCGCGCTGGAGTTTCTAGAAGGATCATGACTTATTGAGGAACCTTGCGAATGTCCAAGTGTTTGCCAGGGGCCCTGTTTTTTAGAATATAAGCCCGGCAAATAAAGGCAGCGATAGATAGATATGCAGATAGATTGAAGATAGAGATAATTGAGTCAAGCGAACAGTAGTCACCGTAAGTAAAGTGTGTGAATCACTGTGATTTATAGTTTGTGTTATAAAGGTTGTTAAAACTGTGGAAATTCTGTGTATTACAAAGTTGTATCGAGAAAGAATAAACTAGTTTTAATTAAGGACTTGTATCGCTGAAGTTCCTCGGAAAGAATTTATACTGGAAATTAACAAACGAGCAGATACACAACAGGTGAAATGAGAACATAATCACTTGCACACATGTGGAAACTGGACGTTTATACAAATATGGATTTTTACAAAAGGGTTTGAATTAAACACTGCTGAAAAAAAGATTGCTTGAATCTTCTGAATGAAAATTTAATACTTATCTAGTTAATTACCTACCATTATATTAATGAACATAGAAATTCTCAGAATATTCTATTTATAATTGTTATAATTGTCTTCACTTGACAGCAAGGTGGATTTAAATAAAACATAAAAACAACTTTATGATTTTGGTCTCTATTTAAGTTGTTTTATATTTATGTTTGATGAAACAAAGCATATTTTCTATTTTAAATCAAAAGGATTTAATTATTCCTGTTTCAATCTAAAATAAAGATTGCATTTCACAATATTTTCAATCCTTACATTCAACTACATTACACAATGCAAAAATGTACACATTTAAATTGCATATCCTTAAAACTAAAGGGTATAAATTTCCTATATATTTTTTCCCTATCAGTGCAGGGGAGGGTGTAATTTTCATAAAGAACTCTGAACTAAATTCAGGAACTACAGTTACCATGGTCAGTACAATTCCAATAAGGTCACATTAAGAGAAGATGCATGGAAAGGTGAGAAGTAATTCCAGGACCAGGATTTAAACCAAGGTTCTCTACTCATCAATTTCCATTTAGGATATTTCCTAGGATAGGGTTAGGTAAAACTGAAAAATATGTTTTAAGACAATGAAGTAAACTCAGGATCTTCACGTGGCAAATAAGTTTGCCCATGATCTTTACCAGATATCAAGTAAAAGCTAATTTCTGAGTTTCCATGTTAAGTGTGACATTATATCTAAGCTTAACTCATACATGTCAATATCATCGTCACCAGGGTTAGATTAAGACAACTGTGGGACACGCACAAAGGTTGAGAGCATGCGTGTATGCATATTACATATATATGTATATATATATATAGTACAGCAAGGTATTTAAAATTATTGTATCTCATTAATTAAAGAATAAAACAACAAGAACAGATAACAAAAATATATTTTGTTAGCACTTGTAGTTGTCACAAAATTAACACATAAAAACAATTAGCCAATGAAATATAAAAACATGATTTTAAATACAATATGTGTAAGCAAAATGTGCAAACCACTTCACTTTATTCAATTCTTTATGTGAATTGTAAAACTAAAAGTAGGCATGAATATATTTAGTAATTAAAATCTATAATTCAGATAACACAAAACTACAAGTACATAGCATTGGTAACACACATATTGAACAAATCCTAAACAATAATGAGATCATCACAGGCTGAATCCACAGCATTGTATCATCACAATATAAAAAGTAATGGTGAAAAAAGTGCTTTTCATTTTATTTGCTTAACATTTTGTAAATTTAGTAATCAAGTAAGTGCAACAAGAAAATGCCATTGACAGGGAAAAAGAGGTTACATAAGAGCAACTCCATTCATTACCCAGGTTAACCTCAGACTCAGGCTCCAATACCAGCTTTAGAACAGTACCATTGACACAACCATACCAAGCACTGATCTTCCATAAAAATATTGAAATTTCAGTAATTTTTGGAAAAAAAATCAAACGGAAAAAAACATCCACTAGCTGCAATGGGATTACTATAGTAACTTAAAGCACCCACAACAGCAATATTTCTTTAGTGCCTAAAGTATAAACT